TATGAGATTTGTGAGCTACACGTGTCGTTGGCAGTGCCGGCGTGTGAGCTATGGAGTTCCGTCCCCCGGTTGGACTATTCATCCCTGGACGCGGGTTAGTGTTCGGAAATCCTGCGTACCAGCTAACAATCCCCCGGTTGGATTGTTCCCCGGTACATTAGTATGGAGAGAAGTATATATTATATTATAGTCCTAGTTATATATATATATATCTATATATGAGTGTTTACGGGTTGATGAGAGTTGCATATCATTGGGAAATGAGTTGTGGATTTGAGATGTGGAGATGTATTGGACTTTGGGATAATGCGTTTTGAGTTTTGGTTTCTGAAATGTGAAACTGCATGCTAGAGCATTATTTTTACATGGTGGGGTTATTATGCTGATTTAAAGTGCAAACTTTATTTTTGTCCACTCACATATTTCTGTTTTGCGCCCCCCAGGCAGTAGTTGCTTTTGGAAGCGTTCGAGCAGGTTGCGAGCTCCAAACTTTTCATCAGTTGTTATGGTCTGTGTAAATTCCTTCTACTCCACTGTTTGTTGTAAACAAATTCTGTAGATGCTCTGTTATCGCCCATGTTAAGTTGCTACTTGAGGCCGGAGGCCATTTTATGTTGGATTGTTATATGTTAAAAGCATGCTGAAAGTTGGAATATATCTATTATGTAAATTATGCAGATTAAATATTGTTGGGTTTGAGCATTTTACAGGAGAGATTCTGCCAAAATTTTAGTAGGATGTCTGGGATTTTTAGTAGTGGGCCCGGCATCAGTGTGATGTCGGCACCAAGACGGGGTCCGCCCCGGTTTCAGCGAAATTCTGGGGCGGGTCCTCTCAATTTAACCAAGGCAATATTAAAACAAAAGCTGATATTTAAGCTGAATATCTCTAAGGGGTACACATAATAGTGACAACGAATTCATCATTCTCTACAGAATCATCCATGTTAATACTCCGTACTGTTTTCGGCACACTGCAAAGTTGCATTCAATAAATGTCTCTCTTTTCTTTTGGCAGTATACTCCTATGAGATCTGGTTAGAAGTCCAGAAGGTCAACTCTAATCTTCCTTTTCTCCAGATTTATGCTCTCTGCTTTCGGCCTCACTGCTAGCATGATCAATCTCGTCGCCAGTAGGGACCGCAGGACGTTCATCTTCTCCTTTATTGATTGATCTAATAAGCATCATTACCACAACCACAAAACCAATTATGTATACAGTTCCAATCCCAATAAATGAAGACATAAAGCCCATAAACGATGGACCACCAATTCTTTCCTTTATTATTCTTCCTTCCTTATATCCTTCCAGGAACTGCGAGACTCGAGATGCCTGATCTTCCTCATCAATGCTTTCTGAACCATTCACCTATTTTACAAAATAATGTCAACTGTTTTGAATTTCTATCATGCAAAAGTGTCAAAAATACAAGTGGAGTAAGAAAAACAAGGAAATCTTCAAGTGGCAAACGTAACATGAATATTATCAGGTGACCTGAAAAAATTACAAATGAATTTGGCTACAGATACAAACATGTCTACATCTCTGTTACTGCATTCTTTTAGGTAACTTGAGAGGCAACTGAACAATTGAGTAACCTATATCATGATCCCTAGAGGATTAGTTTGGTGATGCATCGATGACTGGTTGGGCCCAGCGCAGGTTCAAACCCAGCCGGCACCCCCTCATATACCTGGACTAAGGAATGATATTTTGAATAGGCGCTGGGAAATTGCAGAACATTTTCTGCAAATATTCAACAAAATGCACATAATTAGAATAAAAGCTTACGGCCGAAAGAAAAACAAAACACAAAGCCACATGACTCTGATGGAGAATATCAGATTACCCGTCCATGAATGTCAGTGGATAAGGCATTACCCATCCTTTACTCAAGTGCCCTTGTGTGCCTTAGTTTCTTAAGGAACATGAGGAAATATGCTAATAAGTAGAAATAGAACAAGAATAACTAATTACAAACTTCATTGTATGTTTGAGCACTGATAAGTTAAGAGCCACTTAAGTCAATGTGAATGCAGCAATCGGTGTTATCTTCAAATACAGAATGCAAGAATAAATAACTACAACAAAGATATTGATCCTAGGGACCAACAAGATGACGGCCTGTTATTATGCGTGCCTATTGATGTGATTTTCCTCTGTGGCACAACAAATTAGTCATTGAATGTTTACCACCAGACCAACATATATCTATATTATCAACAAAACTCAACTTGTCAACCATTACATGTAAATTCGAAGTATCCTATATTACTTCTTTATAATTGGAATATTAAACATAAGAACTGAGGGTAATATGATAACTACATAGTACGCACTTTCCTTTGAAATCCAACCACATTTAAACAGAGAACTTACAAAAGCCTTGTAGGAAACACTTTACAAAATAGTAAAATGATTAGGGCCAGAAATTTGAAGTTTAATGACCTTATGAAAGCCTTACAGGGCTTCTCAAGCTACTTCTTATATTAGTTAACAATAAAACTTCTTCACCAAACAAGAGATGCCTGTGAAAATGAAGTGAAACTTACCATTCTACGATCAATCATGGAGCATTCATCGGCACAAAGCAAAGTTGGGAATGTGTCAAAACCTTCTGATAGACATAGAGTCAATATAAGCCTCATTCCCTTTTGACAATCTTCAGTTTCTGCCAGAGTCAAATCTTCCGTTGACTTTGTATATGCACGGAGCAGTATAATCCACCAGAAACCAGAGTCAACAGGAGCAACTCGCCCAATTGCACTCTCGCCAAAATCTGCAACGATAGTATCTGATTTCCGGATAGGGTCATGAAGAACTTTGAAGCTTGCTGGCATTGCACCTTCCCCAAGCTTGAACCGATCTATTCTTTTTTCCCACCCTTGAAGCTGAAGGGTCTTCAAGAGGAAGTTCTTAACTATCTCAGGCTCACCATTCATTAGAAAAGCCAGAGCACTTGGTACAAAATCCCGTACGAAAACCTAAACACAACAAGAATCATGTTTTCGATTATTTTGACGTCCACCACGGGTGCAATTATGTTCTATCCAAGCTTATGCCAAATTCAAACGAAAAATAGAGAGACAGAGATCATGTATGGGACTGGATAATTCTCTTGTAAACAATAACAGAGTCTCTGACAGATTCAGCTGCAGGGAAAATTAAACAAATGTAATGTTTTGTGTGTATAAATAATGATAATTAAATAATTAAATACTAATAATAATCATAACAATGGTAGATCAAGATAAACCAGAATGAGCAGCCATTTCAAAACAGCAAGCTTTTACAGAAAACAATGGAGGAAATCGACGAATCCGTACAAGAAAAACCAGATCTGAACCTTCTCAGTCAAAACATACCAAAAATAAAATTTAAGGAGAGAGAGGGAGTCGAAGGGTTCAAGAGCTTGAACCTCAGAGAGAGAGAGAGAGAGAGAGTAAATGGCGGAGGACAGTCTTCGGCAGTCTGATCGGCCGATCGCCGGCTATTTCGCCGGAAGTTTGTCGGAGATGAGACAATAATAATATGATATTGTCGTCGCCACTGTATAGCAATTTGCTTAACAGAAGAGAGAGAAGAAGAAGAGAGAAAAAGAGCATTTTGGTTAACTCCTCCTATTTATAGTTGGAGAGCTGAAAGAGAGCAGCAAGCAACGGACCAAACCAATGGCCAACCCAAAACCCATTTTTCATTTTTTACTCCAAAAAAGGAAAAAGGAAAAATAAGAAATAAATAAATAAATAAATAAATAAGGAAAGAGAGAGAGTTAGTTGACCGTGAATAGCCGGTGAGAGAGCACGAGCGATTTGCTGACATGGACAAAACGACACAGTTCTGGCCGTCATTGAATGTATGACCCCAACATTGGATTTTCCGTTGGTTGGTGTTCTCTTTCTCCTCCACTGCTTGTACTTGTACGCAAGTCAATTTAATTTAATTTATAAAAATTCATTTCCCACTTAATATTCATTGGATAAAAAGTTATTTTTGATCCCTATAGTATGCTGATTTTATCACTTTGATCTCTATAGTTTTAATTTTGTACAATTTATTATTGTAGTTTTCAATTTTGTCAAATTTATCCTTGTAGTTTTCAATTCGAAGCAATTCAAGGACACGTTTTAATTTTTGTCAAAATTCTTTGCGATTCCATAGAGGGCCATTTTGATCCACCGAGCCAAATTTCTCTCGATTCACCTAAATTTAACCTAGAGATGCAAATTTTTTCGAAATCCTAAACTCCAAAAATCATTTTAAAGTGAATGAGAAGAGCTACAACTTGTGTTTTATTGCCGGATGACTTGAGCGAACTGAAATACCCCTCTATGTGAGGGACACGTGGTCAAAACTTAATGGAATCTGTAAAAGTTTGATAAAAATTAAAAAATTTCTTTGAATGGCTTTAATTTAAAATTAGAAGGATAAATTTGACAAAATTAAAACTACATGATCAGAATGATAAAATCGGCAAACTCCATGGACCAAAAATAAACTTCTGCCGATTCAGTGTGTGGTGAAGTAGGTGAGGCTAGTTGTTGGATATTGACAAAAACATTTAATATATGTTCGTTGGGTTTTGGATTGCATTTTATTCAATGCCACTTTTGGTTAAAACAACTCTCATTTAATTATTTTATTGCCTCGATCCTTTTTTTTTAATTTTTTTTTTTAAAAAAAAAAGCCATAAAGGGACAACTGATCTCTCTCAGATTTCCCATTTGCCTCCGTATTTGACAATTTTTTTTTTATACAAATTTATAAATAAACCTAATCCTAGACATGTATTTATAAAAAAACCTAAGCACTATTTAAACATAGAAACACACCCAAAATCAACCCCAAAGTCAACTTTTTGCGTGTGTTTATAAATGGGTTTTGAGTGTGTATAATGATGAGTTTTGGGTGTGTTTATATGTTTAAATAGTGTTTGGGTTTTTTTTATAATTTCAACCCCCATTTTGGGTGTTTTAGAGAAACTCCCTTTTTTTTATTGGTCAATGCTTCCAGCCTATGCGTGGTAAGCCCTGTAACTTGGTAAGAGGGGCACGGGTCGTAATCTTATTATTATGGGTTAAATATCTTTTTTATTAATGAATTTTATACGAAAATTCAATTTTATTATTCAGAAAATAATTTAGCCAAATTGATCATTGTGTTTTTCAAAGTGTATAATTTATAGATATTCCGTTATTTTTCGTTAAGTGCAGTTAGAGGAAGAAGACTCAAGGTGCTTCCTAAAAGAAAAAAAATAAAAACTACACTTAACGAAAGATAACATAATTTCTATGAACTGTAAACTTGAAAAATACAATGATTAACTTGGCTAAATTTTTTCTCAATTATTAAATTAAATTTTCGTGTAAAACTCAATTACTAAAAAAAGTATTTAACCCTAAAAAATGGGACACGCCAACTCCAAATGACTATTATTATAAAAAAGCAACCACACAAAGTGGTTTAATAAATAAATGGGCCACTCCAACTCCAATTCCCACCTTGCTTATCTTATCACTTGTCCTCGTCATGAAGCATAAATCATGATACACGCGGTGTGTTATACAATATTTTATTGCATTTTAAAACCCAAAAACCAATATACCCAACTAGAGGGAAAAATAAATAAATAAAAAATAAATCAACCGTCGTTCTCTTTTGGGGTGGGCGACTTTCCATCCCTCTCCTCCTCCTATTCCCCCCTTCTTTACCCTCCCAGACCTTCCCTTTCCCTCTCAACTTCTGCTCAGGAACGGACCCAGCAGGGAACTAATTAGAGCTAGGTGACTTTTCTTCTTTTTAAACCCAAAATAGCATTTAGCCCACCCCTGACCCACCCGAGTAGGGA